AAAAAAAAAAAAATAAAAAAAAAACCAACGGACAGAACATATATATCATATATATTTACTGCTTAACATTATTGATCAACAACTACCACACAAAAAGAAAGCCATCTGTTGCGCGCATCTTTACTATCAAGGCTTATATTACACACAATAGATTACCAAACGTCACCAACTGGCTATCAATGTCCAGCCCATATATCTTGTAAATCAGACCCAAACTCTTGTCAGGCTTCACATGCTGTGCACGTGGCTCATCTCCCCACCTGTTTCAAGATTTGATAGCTACTATAAAATGGTCCTCGAGAGGTCGGATCTAAAAGGCGCCTGGGGTCTAAGTTGTGGGGTTTCAGGCCACAGGTCGAGCGAGGTTCTCGAGTTGGGCCTCAGTGGCGATACCAAGCGATCACCATAACTGTGGCTGCTTGGCCCAACTGAAGTATAGGACGGATGTGGTGGGGAGAGGAGAGAGCTCTTGTAAGCCCCTTGATGTCTTAAGGGGCTTGATGATGGGGACACTGGCAATGAAAATATTGTCCTTATGTTATCCCTGCTGAGACATTTCAAGGAAAAACGAAAGGCAGTTGTCAGCTGATAATATGCCGATAAAATGCTGTCTTATCGGGCTTTGAGTGGTTTTTGCAGGGTACCATACCTTGGGCTCACTAGGGTCCTGGGTATTGTTAACAGCGAAGAATCTTCTCTTTCGAATGAACTGTACATTCTGCTGGAATTCATGTCCAGTCCTGTCTGTAGTTTTGATAACAGATACAAATCGGTAAGCAAATTTAGACAATCAGTATCTATTATACTCGAGTCGTCTTTTTACAAGACGTAAACATGTTGTAGCTTCATTATTTGTCCATAAAATATATCCAGGATAGCAAGTTTATCATCTTTTGTATTGAAGAAAATTACTTATTCTGCTGCTAAGTTATCAGAATTCCCAAATTCACATCTAAGCAACCAACCAATTAAGAAACTATAGAGCAACAATAAGTAAGCATGCATATCAAGATTTAGGATTTGAAATTAGCAAATATAGGAGTTATTGGTAACAGCAAAAAATATTCACACCACTTGACTTTTCAACCAAGACGATCGTATCAAAACCAGTTGGGGAAGCAACAACTTCAAATGTTTCAAAGGTTATACCATGCCTAGCCCGTGGCAATTGATTCATTAATTTTACAAAGAAAAAAATGGGTAGTGCAATCATGAGAATTTGATTAAATATAAATTACTAAATTATTTGACATTATACAACATTGAAATACAAAAAGTTCCAACTACTTCAAACCAATTATGTGGGGTTGATACAATTTTGGTCTGGGCCAGTTCTCCAAAACTATGAAAAGATGAGAAGGAAAAAAAGAATTATTAAGATTCATGCAGTTGACAGAAAAATTACCGGGGTGCGGCTTCCATCAAAGGCACGGGGAAAAGCGTCTCTAGTGATATTAACATTAGTAGCTCGAGCTGTGGTTTGGTTTCTGACGAAAGGGTGACCAAGTAATTGGGCTGCCGTGGGTCTCGAACATGGTTCCCTCTGCAAACACAGCCTTATAAAACTTTTGGCATCAGCGGACAAGTGATCTGGAATTTCTGGAGCATCTCTACTGTTCCCAATTTTAAATATAGCAGCAACCTGAAAAACGCAAGAACAAACCCCTAAAAAATTCTAGAGTTTCCAATGTTATGAATCATCAAACTTGGCATCAACTTTGATGGGTGGGAAATGCCTAACCCCTTCATATTGGCTCCAAGGTGGTTTACCAGATGCCATTTCAAGAATCGTGCATCCTAAGCTCCATATATCCACTGGTAGACTGTACCCATTGGTATTCATGACAACCTAACACAAGATTATTGAAAAATGATGGTGAATATATTTGTTCTAAATGATTTTGATATATATAGTTTCTGTACACACTATCTATCTTAAAGTGGAAAAGGATAGAGGACCTCAGGTGCCATCCAGTAAGGGCTTCCTTTGAAAGATAGCATTGAAGAACTGGAAGATATCTGTCGTATCAAAAGCAGTGCACTTAAGAGTCGTTATCTTGGAATGAATAAATCAATATCACAAGTACCACTGTACATGACAGCATTCGATTGAGTTACTTCTTATACAGATATATTAATTGTGTTTACAGCACAATCCGACCAGTCATGTGCTTTGCTTTTACTGATGAAAAACCGGAAAAAGTGAATATGGTACGGTACATACATGTTTTGCCATGCCAAAGTCAGCAAGTTTTACTTCACCATTGGGATCAACTAAAATATTTGCTCCTTTGATATCTCTGCAGAGAATGTACAAAAAATTTCAATAAAAGATCAATCTCACAATTGGATATAAACTTTATCATCACCAGAAAGAAGGCAAATGATACCTATGCACTGTATTGCGTCCGTGTAAGTAGGCCAGACCAGATAGAATCTGACGGGTGTAATTTTGTATTACAGGCTCCCCAAACGGCCCATATTCTCGCAATAATTTGAAGATGGAACCTCCCGAAACATATTCCAAATAAACTGATAATCTTTCTTCGCTCTGAAAATAGGTACGCTTGCATATTGCCATGCTTAATCACAATATTCAATGATATCTAAAAAAAATATGAGATAATGGGACTAGATTATACCAGATCACTTCCATAGTATTGAACGATATTAGCATGTGAAAGCTGACTTAGCAAGGCTATCTCCTGATCCGAAAATCAAACATGTTGAAAAAACATTAGATGGGTGAAAAGGACATGGAGTCCATGTACAAAATGAAAGCTTTATAAGGGTATATTGAATACTCTTCCTAAAGTATACTAAAAATCATTTTAACATGCATCGGGTTGGACCTGGTTCAGTTGCTTGAGACTCTCTTTTGATGACTGATCATCTGAAACAACTTTGACTTCCTTTATTGCACACATTTGCCCGTTCTCACTGCATCAAGATGTTAGAAGTTAGATAGACGTCGAACCAGACTGAATGTTCAATTTTTTTTTCACAAAGATGATCTTAAACGAAATTACAACATGGATATAACTATAAGCAGTTCTAACTTCAAGTTAACCGTTAGGAATACTGTAACATGTATTAAAACATGCATTAACTATAAACAGTTTCTAACTTCAAGTTAACATTTGGAATATATTTCACTAAATCGTGCCAGCTTCCATGAAACGAAAGTATGCCAAGTGTAATAAGAAAAAAAAAAATTGTACATAGAAAGAGAGAATCTTTTCCACAGTCTAACTGAGTGAGAAAAGAATTATTATAATATGCATACACCTACAAAATTATCAAGCACGATACTACAATCTAGACCCAACTCAAGACAATATGTTATAAACATACGAACAACAAAAACAATATGTTATAAACATACGAACACCAAAACCAAAGCCAAGTGTATTTATTTTCAGTTTGTTTCGTAAATCCCATTACCTGTTGAACCCAAGGTAGACATGCCCGAAAGTGCCTCTACCTAGAAGCCTCCCTTTCCTCCATTTCAGAGAGTTACCATTCGAGCTTTCATGTTTCCCAGGACTTTTTGTGGTTGGTAAAGCAGATGGACTTGCCTGAGGACTCGGTGGGAGAGGGAGTCTATAAAGAAGCTCAGCCTTCCCATCGTCCAGCTTTACAGCTGGAGGGTCCAAACTTAAACCATTAAATCGTGCATGAAGAGGCGATGTGGCAGTTGTGCTACTCCTCGACCCTTGACCTGGGCTTCTCATTAAAGGGCTCAATTTGTTTCCCCCATATCCTCTGCCACAGAACACAAATTTCCACAATATTGAGGCACAATAGAAACCAAAAAGAGCGACTTCTAGCTGTTTTTTTACATCTAATGACAGTCCGCTTCACGAGTAGATGTTTTACACTATGTTGTGAAGAATCTAATCTCCAAATTATAGGATTTATCTTCTTAACTCCAGCTGGGGCGTACACCGGCACAAATATGAGTAGAGCCATAGAGGTGAATTCATGAAGTAATATGAAAGGTTATCATAGCCTTTAGATTGAAATAATTTGTGCAAATTCTGCAAGAACTGACAGAAAGTGAAGTATCTACAATTGAACAACTCCTATTCATATAAGAGGACAAACCACATCAGGGATGAAGTTAAAAAAATCAGAGAAATCAAACCAACCTAGACGCAGCGTGATCAACTGCACCATGGGCGTGATCATCGGAAGACCCAGATGAGCTAACACTCGAGACCGAGCCCGACCCAGATCCACAACCCGGCCCGTGAAAAGTATCGTTAGGTGTCTCCACAGGCCTGGGCAAGGGAAGCCCTCTATCCAGAGACGATGCCGAATCAAACCCAGATAAATTACGGGCTCCTAAATCTCTTCCCCCACCCGAAAATTCCGTACTGTTTCTAGGCGAATTTCTAGATTGCTGCTGTAGCAAGACCTCGTCAAAGCTCCCGACTTTCTTGTCACTATCTTTTTCTCTCTTCTCGTTCTTCAACGACGAGCTGTTGGGAGAATTTTCCGAATCTTTGCTCCGCCGAGATTTTTTACCCCACCAAGCAGGCATCTTTTTTCCCCCCTTGGGATCAAATTCAATTGAGAACCAAGCTAGAGCATATAAATGAAATCTGCACAATCATAGATGAGTGTATATGCCGATAATATGTACTGTAATTTGCACCAATCAAAGAAAAGATAAAAGGGTCCGCTCCGCAGAACAAGTTGCAGACAAAATAAAGATGAAAAGACCCCCAACTACGGTTGAAATTCGTCTAACCTAACTAAGCTGGAGTATTATCCATCCTTTGTTTTTGCTTTGAAGCTTATTTGAGAGAGAGAGAGAGAGAGAGA